TTTGGAACATCTTTTTTTGCACGAAATTTTAAGCAAAAATACTTTGAAAATTATAAAATTGAAGATTCTTTATTAAAGAGGATCAGTATCATTTTTATAAAAAAAAATTCTGATTTCATCATTAAAGATTTTTTATGGATTAAAATCATAAAAAGATTTTTTTTAAAAATATTTGGAATTTTTAGGTAAAATTTGATCAAATTTGAGCATTCATAAAATAATCTTCAGAGATCAAAATCTTTGAATATTTTTTTTTATTTTGAAGATCTTAAATAATTTATAAGGAACCTAATTTTTTTTCGACATTCGATAAGCGAATTAAGACCTTAATAAGTTTGGTATATTATAAGTGTAAAATAACTTATTTTTAAACTTTCTGGGAATTATTATTATTTTTATTTATGAATAAATTATAACTTTCTTATCTCCTTATTTTTTCTCTCTCTCGAAAATCTTACTATTTATATAATAAGTTTTTAAATTTTAATAGGCAACTAAAAAAAATGAATTAAGATAAGATATAAAAATAAGGGTTATAAAAAAACAAATTATTAAATGAAATTTTTATGTTTATTGTAAAATGAATTTAATTACGAAGTGCGGCGACTACAATAAAAATACGTATAACTTTTTATAGATAGAATCAAAAATGTTGCTTTGCTGAATAATTTATATGGATATCAGCGAATAGAGGAACATTTCGGGTTAATGGGCCTAGTCCGGACAAGTCTACGAGCTCCGAAATCGGGTAAAACTCTGGGAAAAATTTGCTTCTAAATTTTATAATCCTCTTCTCTTCTCTTCTCTTCTCTTCTCTTCTCTTCTCTTCTCTTCTCTTCTTCTTCTCTTCTCTCTCTCTTCTCTTCTCTTCTTCTTCTCTTCTCTTCTCTTCTTCTTCTCTTCTCTTCTCTTCTCTTCTCTTCTCTTCTCTTCTTCTTCTCTTCTCTTCTTCTTCTCTTCTCTTCTCTTCTCTTCTTCTTCTCTTCTCTTCTCTTCTTCTTCTTCTTCTCTTCTCTTCTCTTCTCTTCTTCTTCTCTTCTCTTCTTCTTCTTCTCTTCTTCTTCTCTTCTTCTTCTTCTCTTCTCTTCTCTTCTCTTCTCTTCTCTTCTCTTCTCTTCTTCTTCTCTTCTCTTCTCTTCTCTTCTTCTTCTCTTCTCTTCTCTTCTCTTCTCTTCTCTTCTCTTCTCTTCTCTTCTCTTCTCTTCTCTTCTCTTCTCTTCTCTTCTCTTCTCTAAGCAATGTCTATTCTTCAATGTCCATTATTTATAACTCGAGATATTGATAATCTTATTTAGTATATGTTGAATTTCCATATCATGTCAACTGAAGATTCAACCCGACCCTCTTCAATTTTTTAAAAATTTGTATGACGAAGAGTATATACACTAACTAGTAAAAAAATATAAAATTTAATTCCCAACTCAGCTTACTTCATGAGATATGGCCATCTTTAGAAATGCGAAAATTTCAAAATACACTATATTTAATTTTAAATATCTCAATTTCCGAGTTTCTTAAGATGGCCTTATCTCATTAAGTAAGCCGATTTGAAAAGTAAAATTTTTTACATTTTTAATAGTTAATGTACTAACAAATTTTTTAAAAAAATAGAAGGGGGTCGGGGGTTGAGAATCGACTTTTATTCAGTTGATTTAATATACTATATGAGCGTACGTAGCATATAATCGTAAACTTGTCATAAATAAAAAATAGCGTAATTAAAGGATGCGAAAGCATTTTATAAAATAAATTATAAATCTGACCCTACCCCATATTTGTACTTTGGTGAGAAGTAATGGCTTGTATTGTTAAAACAGATGAGTTCTTAGTGAAGGTAAAGATGATTAAATAGAAAGAGGTGATTGATGCCCATTCAAAAGATAAAACAGCGATGAAATCACGTAACATTTAATTTCCATGGATTCAGAGTTCTTGACTAATATTAAATATAGAATCATACAGGGATTATGAACAAGATCGTCCACACTGAAAAGACGCTAAACAAATGGATTAATAGTTGTTCTCAACTATAAAAATAAGGTTTACATTAGAGATCTGCAAAGTTAGGCCCGGCCCGTAGTTCACAAGGAGAGGTGTACGTGTAGTAGAGTCTTAGTCTATATGAAGTATATACCAGTTGTAATTTACTTCTCGTAATCTATGTAAGAAGCGCACGGGAAAAGTTAGTTTTAAACCTATAAAGGTAGATGTTTAACAACACGATAAAAATGTTTGTAGAGGGATAATTGTTACAGGAAATGGATAAAATATATATAGAGTTGCCTAAATATTGACTGCTCTCATAGAAGATTTATTAAACAATTTGATTTGACTAGTCCTAACAATGATGTGGTAAACACTGCCCTGGAACTCCGAATTTACTAATATTGACCTTAAGAATTAATTATTAGATTTAAAAAGAATTCGTCATAACCGTGTGGCTAATAAAACGTCGCGTTTTGGGATCTTTATAACTCCAGAACCTGTCAATCGTTTCTTTAAAATGAAATTTTATATATTACTAATATACCGTACCTAATATGCTCAAATTATTTTTAGAATTTGATAGATTTGTTATTCAAAAAATTGAGATTGTTAAAATATAATAACTCATGACCCTCAATTAATTTAAAAAAAAAGAGGCTAGATATCCCATTATGTTGGATTATCTCCGGAAGTTTGATTTCAAGATATTTTGCTATTTTTTATAACTTTTAAAGAAAAAAGGGATAGTTGTTCACCATTTTTATTATATAGTTGTTTATTATACAATTCGATTACAATACAAAATATTTAGGTTACCTAATCAAATTTAATTATTACGCCGTTTATTAACACCCAAAACTTCATACAATCATTTTGTAAATTAAAAATGCTATCAAAAGAAGGAAGATCTTATACGGATTGAATTATGCCCCGAGAAAAGAACTTAAAATGCGCCAAGTTTTATTCTTGAATTCCCTAGGAAAAGATAAAATATTCTTGCAGATAAACCAACTGTAGAGCGACTTTGAAATACGGGATTCATATTCTGAAAACAAGGCCTCCTCATCTATATCTACGGTGTCATCAAGTGTATAATGAATTAAATACTATATCTTTAGACTAAACTTTAAAGAAAAAATCATAGAGCATGTCCCTCAATTCTCAATTTATTAAGAAAAAAAAACAAGTTGGCGTTCGATCAGAGTAACATGAGATTGTTAGGCCTTATACAAGATAAGAGAAGACCAATCCAACACATATTTGGTTAATTGTATTTAGGTATTTTAGGTATTTGAATAATTCTATAATTGTGTTTTATAAAGGATCTATAAAATATGCTTGTGTTTGGCATTATAATTTATGAATAAAGAAAATTGCTGGAAAAAAGGCGAATGTTTGGCTATAGTTCAACATGATAGCAACCCATCTAACCCGTTTAGAAAAAATAAAATGAGGGTCTTGAGTTGTTTAGTGTCAAATTTTAGTAATTCTTTATCTCAATTATCTAAAAATAACCTCTTCAAATCAAATTTAAAATTTTATTTTGAGAATATTATGTTTAAAATAATTTAAAAAAAATAAATAAGTGGTTTGGAGGTATAAAGATTTCAAAACGCGACGTTTCTTTTTTAGCCCCTGTGTGCCGATTTTAATTAGGATATATCAATTCCCATCTAAGTTGATTTTGCCTAAAAGTTTGTTTACTAACCCTGGCCTTTTATATTTTTTATATTTTTTACATTTCTTACTTACTTCCTTCCTCCCTTCCTTCCTTCCTTCCTTCCTTCCTTCCTTCCTTCCTTCCTTCCTTCCTTCCTTCCTTCCTTCCTTCCTTCCTTCCTTCCTTCCTTCCTTTTTCGCTTCTAGTTTCATATATAATGGCCAGTAACTTCTAACACTACCGTCCCAAAGTCGCTTATTTTCACCTCCTTTTATTTTTAATATTAGGATAAATTTTGCAAAAAATCTGGGCAAAAAACTACATAACAAATTCTATTTTGTTTTGTTTTGTTTTGAAGTGCAATTAAGTTTAGACATTGACAGCTGATTAAATAAAATCAAATTCTTAGAAGAAAGGTTTTGGATTCGTTACTCTTATACTAATTAATCATCAGAGATACAGCTAAGCGGAAAACGAATTATAAAAATAACTTAACTAAAAATCGTCCTCAGGACTTTATCAGAGGAAACTATTTTCATTCCCTTAAATACGCAATTCGATCCGCACAAAGGAAATATCAAACAAACCCCAAAATACTCTATTTTGTTTTAATCAATAGAAATAATAATTGTATTTTCATTTACAATTTATGCATTGTGTAATTTTTTAAATCCCAATTTTTTTTAAAGACTTTGCCTATTATTAATTAATATATGACAAGTCTAAAAAAAAATATAATGATTATGAATATGATAATTTTTCGTTTAAATGGATTTAAAGACGGAATTCATGGAAATGAGATATTTTATTATGAATTTTTTTTTGCACAAACTTTAAAAAATAATTAAAAATTTAAAACAGGATATATAATTCAGAAATTCATTTGGTTATAACAAAGATGTATAAAAAAATAGATCAACAGGGTTATACGAATAATTATTCTTTCTGAAAATTGGGAAAAAATGATAAATTGAAAATATATAAATAGAAACTCAATTATTTTTATCCTAGAATATTCCATCAAAAAATGGAAAAATGAAAGGAAGGGGGGTAAAAACTGAATTTTTATTTTTATTGAAATTTTAAAAATTAAAATAATTTTTAAATAAGAAAATGATTGATTTTTTTTTATTATCAAACTGCTCCGTTTGAAAATTTTATTAAAATGAATTTTTACATTTAAAATAAATTTTATATTTTTAAAATAATAGAAATATAATATATGGGCCTAATTTTTTTTAGGGTGGATCCTGGAATAATAGTAAATCATTCCAGTCAGTTCTCTTTTTGAATTTTAAATACTTTATAATGCTTTACTTTACAATTCTTTTTAACAAACATACTGTTTATTTTTTTTCTTTCACATTACTATAACGTTGGCCGCAACTATCTGGGTCTTTGAGCTCTAGCTAAGGGTAATTATTCATAGATGTTAGGGTCTCCTCTTATTTTACACAATCCAGTTAAAAATATTTCCTTAAAAAAAATTGTAAACACTTTCAAAAATGAGAAAAAATAAACAAACTAATGTATTATTTACATGCCCCCAAGGTAAGTGCTCTCTTTAAAAAAAAATCAATCAAGAAAATCAAAATGTATCAAGTCAATTAGTGATGTTAATTAGCCTTAAGACCCGACCAATTTAGATGATTTTATCTAAAAATTTACTTCGACTTGATTCGAGTCGTTATTATTTGAGTCAAATCAGGCTGAATTGTTACAAATAAATCGTACAAATGAGTCGGACCGTTTTATTGGATGCGGCTAATTAATAGTCTACTAAGTCAAATGTATTACAAATAATAAGGAGTATTTACATATTACATGTAATATATAACGAATTCAATGTTATTTCTAAAATCATCCTTTCAAATTGTCATTCGTGTGAATGGTTGGATTTCCTTGAATGCCCTTAATTCCAGTCCTCCATGCTTTTCGGTTATTTATCATGACAAGTCATACCCCGAAGGTCTTCGACAATCACATCCTACATAACTTATCTAGGCGTCTTTTTCTACGTTTACCTCTAACTTCTGGTCTCGCACGCTTCAAATATATCTGGTCTATCTCCTTTCTGCTGACCCAATAAACTAACATTACCTACCAATACAAATCAGTTGATGGAAATCCATTTTATTTTTCCATATAATTATAAGCAATTTACATTTTTTTTATGAAGACTACTTTTTTTTTTGTAAAAAATAAATCATAATTAAATAAATATTTAGCAAACCAAAATGGCGTGCCACCAGCTGATTTACTTTTAATGACGCTTCAATGATGCATTTTAATGATTTAATGGGCATCATTTTCATTAGTCTAGATAAGTGTCATTTGCTTTAAAAAATAAAATTTTTTAATTATTTTTTAATTTAATTTTTTAATTCTGACATTCAATTAGAAAAAATGGAAGAGGAACAGGAAGTGAAATATAGCAATAGAAATTCTAAGGTCTGGGTCGGAGGACTACTCAGCGGACGTCAGCCGGGATCTAGATTATAATATTATATAAATAGACTATTCAAGAATTCATATTCTAAAATTGATATGATATTAAACTCACATAGTGTCTTTTGAATGTTGCATAGAACTATAATTTTTGTCTAATAATAGAATAAATATATAAATCATGCCCTCCTTCCAAATTCTTCAAAAATATTCATGATTACAACCCTATACCAACTTATTGGCCTTGATGCTAGTTTTTCACTTATATTTTAAGTCATTCATTTTAAATTATTAGTTATTTTCTTAATCTTTATAACTACTTATTTTATTAATTTTTCAGAGATGAGGACTGGGAAAAAGAGAGGCTTTGATAATTTGCCAAGAGGGAACAGATGATTTAGCTACAGGAGTGATTCTAGAATTAGTATCCTTCCCAGACCAACAAAACAATATTTTTATACAAAGTTTAATGAATATATATTAAATTTTTTCATGTTTTTATTTTTAGAAAGATATTACTATTGAATTTTCATTCATTTCTCTATAATTGTAATGATATTTTAATTAATATTTTGTTGGCTTTGGTCAATTGTAACAATACTAATAATTTCCAAAAATGTCAATATTATGACTATTACAAAAATATGTAAAATAAAGTTATGAAATTCTTTAGTCATTATATTATATATGGATTATTAATATAGTTTATATTATAATATAATATATCAATGTTTAGTATTTTGCAATATGCAATGCTTATGGAGCACGTTTTTTAAATGCATATAACACGAATTAACTTAAGGCGAACTGGCAAATAAAATAATGATTATGTTTAAGCAAATATTAAGTTCTTAATAATCATATGAAACTAAAAAATGTAGAAGGTTATTTGGAAAATTTGGACCTATTCACCTATTTGAATTGAATTGCAAAATAGCTAGATGCAGTCGAAACCAAAAGGGGTCTATTCTCCAGTTTGGCCTATGCATTAAAAGTAAATTATGAGATGAGGCGAAGGGATTTATTTTATCTGCTTTAAAGCCGGGAACTATTACGGGGATAGAAATTTTGAGAATACAAGATTAGGTTTAATAAGGTGATGATCCTTGCACTGGCCCTGGAAAGATCTTAGGTTAGCGAGTAATTTTGGGAAAGCTCAAATAGGAATTGAAAAAATTGAGCAGTTTATTAAAAATAATCAAAATTGGTACAAAAATCAAGACCACAACTGAAACGTTTCCCTTCAAAGAAAGGGAATAACCTAAACTATGAGAATCACTTAAATGTAAAAGATTTAATAAAAAAAAATAGACCTACAAAATCTGGCCTTTAACATAAATGGATTTGCCTGGTCTTGATTCACCCTTGTAACATATTTCATCGGTTCAGATTTTTACAGCCCAGGGTAAATTCTCAAATTAATGCTTAGAAGATGATAACTCAGACAGTTCGATTTACACTATACCAACACCCAGCAAAATAGCAATAATACAAATCGATAATCAACGAGAACCTCATCACGATGAAATATAACTCTGAAGTTAAGGATTGTTGCTAAGGAATTTATACAAGTTGGAAGGCCAGAAATTTGCTTATGGTAATAATACATTAGAGACTTGGGAAAAATTATTTACTTCACAATACAAATTACACAGGATTAAATGTTCACTTAATGCAATTGTGACTAAATGGGGTGGTTTTTGACTTTTAATATAGCGACCAGGGAGCCAAGGAGGACTTGTCCTGGATATATTATTAAAGGAAAAAATAAGATAATATATGATTTCCAAGTTAAACCCGGCTGAAAGCCAATTAATGGCCTGCAGGTTTTTTTAGTTGAATCCCGCCTAAGATAAATTCCTAGCAATGTCACTGTCTCAAAACTTACTGCGCTTTTGTATATGCCAATATATTATGTTATATCATAAAATAATTCTCCCTCTTTAAATGTAAGTCATTAAGAAAAAATATATATATAGAAGATGCTCTCCTTACAATAATATCATTTATATTATAAATATATATATATAAATACTAATGATAAAAATTTTTTTAACACTTTCTATTGTTCATTTTTTTTTAAAATATAACCATAACTGAAAGAAACGTGTGGCCACCTCTTTTTAACAAAGAGAACTTTTTAGATTTTATATAATATTAATGCTGTTAATTTATTTTTTTAAAAAAAGAACAAGATTTAGCCTCAGTCTTTTGTATAATTTGTGGATTACAAAACAAAATTTGTTTAGGATTTATACTTAACAAATTATCGTTAATAAATGGAACTCGACGAAATATGCCAAACTAATTTTCTTTGATATACACTTATTATATTTATATACTAATATATTCTTAGTATTATAGTATTAATACTAATTATCTTATTCTTTTAGAATTTTGTAAAAGAGTTTCGAAAATCGATAAGATATTTTAAATAACTCTTTTATATTTTATTTTTGATTTATTTTTTTTCTTCTTCTTGATTTTTATAAATCAGTCGATTAAATAGTCCTCATGATATCCCCCTTTTCTATCAACAAAACCATCATACACTTGGAAATATATGAATATATATAACAAATATACAAAATACCCTTATACCAAAAAAATATGACAAAACGAATTTGGTTTACTTAAGAAAATTGGTATATTACATTATTGGTTTTGTATTAGTTGTTATATGGGGAATAGTAAATACAAAATATAGATTTTATATCAAAGTGACATAACTCTCGTTTCTAGGAGAGTTAATACCTATTGCAGGGTTGTTTAATAGCCTTGTCCCGAACAATCATAATCATTTAGAAGATTTAATAATAGTAAACTTCGGGGTTGGGCATTATCGCCAAACACTTTTTTATATTCGTATTTAGAATATAATTAATATTTTAGAAGGTATTTAATTTAGAATTTAGTGTATTTTAAATATTTAAAAACGAAAAATATTTTGTATTTATTACGATTTCACGATTTTCAGACAAATATAAATACCCTTTTTTATTTATTTTTTTATTATATATAGAATGTAAATTCATATATATTTATTTAAATATTAAATTTCAACCGACGAAAAAATCGACTTCCTCACTGTGAATCCTATTTATTTTTAAAAAGAGTATTACCTAAAGCGAATACGAAAATATATGTTTTTATTTTGAAAATGAGGAAGATATAGTATAGTAATTGAACAAAGGGAGTTATTATATTAAGCTATTATAATAAGATATTTTTTTGTAGCGATTCTGTCACAAACAACGTCAGCATACTATCTAAATGTAATTTGACAATCTTGGATGGAAATTTTTATTTAAAATATCATCAAAAATCAAGAAGATAGTGAAAACTAAATGTAAGTATCTGTTCAGAGCGATATCACTCTCCAACAATTTATTATATGATCTGTAAAACGGTTATATTAATTATATTTTGCAATTATTACATAATTTATGTGATTTGCTACTGCGGCAAGTAGTGTTGTTAAATAGCTCGATTCTTAAAAACGGCTAACCCAATATTTTAATTTAAAAAAAATATTATGCAGGCTTGGAGATTTTTCGCATAGAAGGAGGAAGAAAGGTTAAGGACCTATAATTTATTTGTCTAAAATATTGGGTTAGCCGTTTTTAAAAATTGGGCCGTTTAAGAAGGCTAGCTGCACTAGTAAATATATTATTTATAATGTCAATGTATTACAATGCAGATATTTGATGATTTTGGTATAATGAATAAGAATAAAAATTGTTAATGTGGTGCTGAAAATCGACCTACAAAAAGTATTCGTCAAAGTATTTATTTATTCAAAAGATTTTCGTCAAAGTATTTGTATGTAAATACTTTTTGAAAATATTTTGGTAGGCAATTACTTATAATTAAAATACATAGCAACACTAGCTCAGTGGGGAAGATTCTTCAACATAGCTATTCTACTATCTAAACCCTATCTGGATGATATGTACTATTCAGCAAAAGTTCTCCTTGATGTAAAAATAATTATATTTTATTTTGAATAAGTCGTGAAAAAGAGTAACCTCACTCGATTATCTTAATTCTTATATTGAAGATGGAATCTCGTATTCATATAACTAAATTCTATGATCTCCCCAGGGGTTAAATCCGTGATTTACTGACACTGGGATTGCTAGTTTAAAACCCTCGACTATTGATTTTATGACAAAGAAATAATCTGATGAATGATTTCCTACAATCGTTGAAGTATTTGATGAAGTTTCAACCTGTGCTTAATAAAGATTGAATCGTTATCCACTGAACAGAAATAAAGAAATCGGGCAAATTCGCCTGCTACGTTTTTAACACCCTTCACCCCAAATATGCCAAATAAGAAAGAATTCTAAGGATTAATCATTGAATTCAGAGAAGTCTATTCCAATTTTTTTTTTGAATCCCTCCAAAAAAATGTTAAACTTCCTAAATAGTTAACACAATGAAATAGCAACGATTAATTTTGAGCTATTAATTGTATAGCAAAGTTATTTATACTATCAATTATTATAACTTTTTTCTAATCAAAAATCTTCAACATCTATCCACTAAATACAAACATCTCGATATTGTGTCCAAAGTACAATCCAAGTTATAAAAGTTCGGAGAGTGAACTTTTAAATATAAATGCATTTATATATTTCATTCCCTGCCTACTACTAATATATATTATTAAAATGATATTATAATTTGATCATGTCAATAAAATAATTATTGCCTCAAAGTCTAAAAAAAAATTTAAAATTCAGTGTACGAAGACAAAAATGATATATTTTTTGTTTCAAATGCAAATAATTGACAATTTTTTTTAAAAATATTATTATTATTGTTATTGATATTTGGACAAATTTATTTTGTCGTTACATAACTTTTCTTCTCTTCAGTTCTTTCTTGCTAGTTTTTTTTTCCTTGTGTGACATTTTCTTTCACTGCCTACACGTTGAATTTTTTAAAATATTTTTTCTTTTATTCTTAAAATTATTTTTTTTATATATAAATTTTGAAATAATTTTTACGGATAAAAGTGCAATATATCTTAATTTCAATTTTTTTTTAACTAAACTAAGCTTTTAGAAATCGATATATTTTAAAATAGTTATTATATTGAAATATTATTTTAAAAAATTTAAATAAAAATATTAATATTTTTTAAGAAAAAGGACAATTTTTTTTTCATACAAAAATATACTTATCGTAAATATCTTCTCAAAAATCTCATATTGCGGGGGAAAAAAAGAGAGATAGATTTTTTAAAATATAATTAAATTCAACAATGAGTATGATGTGTGAGCTCTTACTCTTATTTAATATTATAACTTAAGAACACCGAAAAAAAACACCGACTATTAATATATTATAACGAAACTTCTATGAAAAATACTAATTAATAACATAAACTATAAAATGTATATTTTTGGTTAAAATAAACCAAAATTAGGTTCAAAACGAAAAGCTAATTCTTAACAAATCTGTTTTACGTTACAAAAAAAAAATCAAAGAAGCTATGATTAGTTAAATTTCCTATTAAAGTAAATAAGTGAATCGGGCCTTTTATATTTACGAATCATGAAACAATTTTAAAAACTTGGGGTCATAAACGGGCGAAAAAATTTTGAAATAAAATTTTTATCGTGTAAATTTTCGTCATTCAAAAATTTCGGACTAATTTGGATTGTAAATGTTATAAAATAATTTAATCTTTAGTTTTAATCAGGGTTGGGTAACCTGGTGATCTGCATCGTAATTTTTCAAGCCCACATATAAAAATTATCGGAGCCTAGTGTCTTACGAAAATTTCATAAATATGTCAATTTTATTTCAAAATTTAAGCCCGACTTGGCCCAATTTTTTTTTAAATAGTAGACCCGATCCAGCCCAAACTAATTTTAAAAATATAAACATCCTAAACGGACGGCCGGATACCGACCGGATCAACTCTTGGAGATTTTTAATTTGACCTGTTAAATATGGTTAAATTCATTGATATATTTTTATGATGATGCACTAACTCAATTTAGTAAATAGTAAATATAAAGTATGTTCATTTTATGAATGCATATAATGAAATTCAATATTTTTTGATAGATTTATTCTAGAAAAAATATTTCGTTTGATTTGGGCCAGTATCCGAGTTATCATAATTTTCTTTTATATTTATTAAATGATTATGATATATAAATAATTTTCTCTTAATCAAAGTTTTAAATAGATTTCGGTTCTTTGTATACTACACCAAACGGAGGTTAAAATTAGAAGAGGTTATGAGAAGATTTGCCACTACCTTTAAGAGGTAAGGGGGGCAAGGCCCTTCCCCCAGCTTGATTCCTAAATCTAATTATAATGTTTCTAAATTCTATCGCATACCGTTTTTACATCAAAACTTTATCATGTCAGCTAAACAACTTGATTTCACTATCCGGCAGTAAATCCTAGTTCTTTTATATATATGGGTGATATAATAAGTAATTAATAATGTAAGCATTTTTATATTTAAATATATTTAAATTGTTTTTAAATCTGTTCTTTTGCTGGAGAAGATATTGAATAATAGCACACGATTAAATTAATATGCTATTATAAAGATGGTTCTACGTGAGTCAAAATACAATTATCCCTTAAACGGCTCATTTTGAGCCTATTTTTTAAAAAGGCTAACTCAATATTTTAGCCAGAAAAATATTGTTTAAGCCTCGAGATTTCTATAATATATGTCTGGACCTTTGTTCCTCCTACGAGAAAATCCTTTAGGCTTGCGTAATATTTTTCTGAAAGAAATACTGAGTTAGCCGTTTTTTAAAATCGGCTCAAAACGAGCCGTTTAACAACACTACTTATGATGCATAACAATGACATTGCCAATGCTTAAGGTATATTAAAAAACGTAAATTTTTTTTTTAATCCGGAATTCTTCATCGTCTAAGGTATCCATTCTTTTCGATATGCTTCCATAAATCTTCACCGATAGATGCTCTTAGATCATTTTTTGCAAATTTTTAGTTGTCTAACATTTTATAGAGGAAATTTATTCTGAGCCTATAGTAATTAATGTAAATGATGCAGTGCTTATAGTGAGATAATGTGGCACTTGATATGTGTAATGTTGTTGAACGGCTCGGTTCTTAAAAACAGTTAACAAAATATTTTAGCAAAACAATATTTCGCAAACCTGGAGATTTGTTCTAAGGTGGCAAAAAGAAAGGTTTGAAAATCTACTAACGGAATCTCGAGGCTGGTATAATATGAATTTGGTTAAAATCTTAATTTAAAAATGGCAAAATCAAGCCGATTTTTAAAAACGGCTGACTCAATTTAATATTTTAG